CTACTCTACTCTACTCTACTCTACTCTACTCTACTCTACTCTACTCTTTCATTCTTAATTCTACTCTATTCTATTCTAATGGGAAAGCAGAGGTGATTACCTTGGAGATGTTCCAGTGATGTGGCGGCTGCCGCTGCGTGCGACTGACATTGTGCCGTTCGATGCCCACATGCAGGTGTCCCAACAGAGATTTCAACTGCTGCAGGCTGAGCGTGTCCTCTTCACCGTAACGGAGGAAAAGGTCCTGTAGGAAGGAGGCTGCTGTGATGGGAGGGGGAGCCGAGGCTTCTGTGCCAGCCCACGTCTGCGAAGTCCGAAGCAGGAGGTACAGCTGCAGCACCAGGGCCCGTCTCCAGAACCCTCTGTTCCAAAACATGGTTTCAAAGCTGAAAAGACAGAGCCAGGCCCTTGGATTAGCACGGCCCCTTGAAACCCTTGCTCTGCTCCTAGCCGTATTTATTCCATAATTCCTGCTTCTTTCAAAATAAGACAGCAGATAGTATAGCAAAGGGACACCTGGACAATGGAGAGTGCCCAGAGATTGTTTAGGGGAACAAAGAGCAAGTGCAACCAGCATTGGGGACAGTGGTGGGTGTTAGGGATATACCCTAGCAGAATTTGCACGGCAGTCAGACAGGCAGGCAAATATGTGAGATAAACGTTTTTGTAGCTTACACTCAGTAAAACAGATACACTGTGCTAGTTAAATAGTTTATTCCAGTAAGAGTTTTATCATAGTCAAACAGTCCATATATCATTCACTAGTTCAGTCCGTTCGGGGATTATTCAGTTGCAAAGTCCAGTGTCGAAAAAGGGGTTAGTAAACTTACAAATATCAGTCCAGTAATATATATCCTCGCAGTAGAGATATAAAGAAGTCAAACCTCCTTTCTTCCTTCGACGTTCAAAAACTCAGCAGCAGGGAATACGCAGTTAGCAAACCATCAATCCAGCATAGTTAGCAATCCAGCAGGTTCTCTTGCTCCCTCTTATGGCGGTTTTACAACCGCACCCAAAATTACATGCTTTGCAGTTTAAAGTGACACACACTTAAACTTACTATCATAGTTTATATATATTATTTTACCCAAACTACGTTAGGTAACCTTGTTATTCCTAACAGTGGGATTCAATTTTTTTTAACTACTGGTTCTGTGGGCGTGGCGGCTTGGTGGCTGTGCAATGGCTTGGTGGCCATGGTGTAGTGTGATGGGTATGGCAGGGGAAGGAGACTGCAGAATCCCCATTCCCGCCCCACCCCACTAACCTGCTTTCCAGCTCCGTTCTCCTGTGCAGGGCAACCAAAGACCCAGCCAATCAGCTGGGACTTGGGAGGCGGAGAATAGATGGGGTTGGCGGGGCCAGTCAGAGGTGGGATTTGCCGGTTCTCCAAACTACTCAATATTTCTGCTACCGGTTCTGTAGAACCGGTCAGAACCGGCTGAATCCCACCTCTGACTGGGGGGCTATAATGAAGAATGGGGGACAGCCACATCATTCCCAAGGGCAGAGATAAGATTCTCCCACATATATTGTCCCATTTGCATTGCCGGTTTCAAATTCTATTAAATCTACACTTTTATTGATTTGATCAAATTGCTGTGCCCCCCCCCCTGGTCTCCCCTACAAGGTGACCCTGGGTGGCTAAAACTTGTAGATTTAAGCCGGAGCATTTGCTACTTCGAAATGGCAGCGACCCACCAGCCAGCGAGGCGGGCTTTAAGGCCATCACACAAAAAGTCCACGCCAAGCGAAGGACGTCCACTGTTCAATTCTATTCCAGCTGTAAATTCTGCCTACCGATCCTATCCATTTCTGTTTGCAATGCTTTTTAATGCTCCAGATGACCAGATACGGGGCAGAACCATGCGGATCTTAACTCGACAGCAATCCTGCCCCTTATCCTTGTGTTGTTTCTGCCAAAAGAAGACACCTCAAAATTAGGGATTTTTGTTATGTGTGATGGCCACTTGCACATAACTTCTTATAACTTATCCTCTTCAATGGAAGAGGATAAGGCCCTCTGTGATCTTGGTCTGACTTGCACTGAAGCTAATATTCTGATTCCCAGCTCCATTTCCAAATGGCTATCCTATGTCTTCTTGATGGCCTCCAGTATTGGAGCACCCAAAACTTCCCGTTCCACTGATTAATTGTTCTTCTCACGGTCAGAAATATTTTCCCCCTTAGTTCTAGGTTGGATCTGTCTTTAAGGATCTTCCACCCATGAATTCTTGTCCTGCCCTCTGGTGCTTTCAAGAATAGGAGAGTTAGGACACCTAAGGATAAGCAGAAGTTGTCTATCAGAATAGAGCCCTTTCTCTATTCTCAATTCCAGCAAATGGAATTGCTTCCATTGAAGATCTGCGTACTTGCAAGAGCCAGAAAGAGGGTTAACAAAAGATCTACAGGCCCCTCACATTTCAAGAAGAGATTGGACTGCCATTGGTCAGAAATGGTGTAGGGTCTCCTGCTTAGGCAGCGGGGGGGGGGGGGGGGGGGGGCTAGATGACTGTTCTGCCCCAAACCTTGCTCCAAGGAAACAAACACCAGACAGAGGTAACAGCAAAACCTTTTAATGATTCTTTACGAATTCCGTTCCTTCCCAGTTAAAAGGCTGTTTGTGTCTCTGATAAGAAGGAGCCTTGTCAAGGTTGTGCAAGGCTGCCAGGAACACTAGATAAAGTTGCCAAGAAGTATTTCAAACACAAAGAGTCTCCAAACACAAACTAAGAGAGTCCGAACATCCACAAGGCCTGAGTGAAAAAACTTCTTTGCTTCCTGCAAAGAACTCTGGGTTCTCAGCTGGCTTTTATCTCTTAAGGGAGGGGCCATTACCTTGCAGCCTTACTCCCGAGTCACCCGTGCTGCTGCAGCTGCTCTTTCCTTCGAGCAGCCCTGCGTGCATGTGCACTGGGCACAGGCTCCTCAGGGAACTCTTCCTCACTGCTGCCAGCCTCCACAATCTCCAAAGGCAGCACTCCACTCCCTGATGGTCCTGGCCCCATCCCTGCATCACATGCAGGCCCCTCATCTGAGCCCTCGCTCTCCAACACCTCTGCCATCTGCATCTGCCGCCGGTGAACCACAACAATGACCCACAAAGTCCCTTCCAACTGTGATTATCTGTAAATGTGGACATAAACTGCTTCAACTTCTCCTGTCAAGATGTCGTTACAGAACATTGCATGCCTAAAAACTAGACGCAAAGAGAATCCCCCCACCAAATACTATCATTCTGTTAAACACCTCATTTCCACAGCACTGTCTTAGGCCTAAAGATATTTATTCATGTAGTAGGGCTATATAGCTATTATCCTTCTCATCTTCTCAACTTTCCTACTACTTTCTCCTATTACTATCTCATGATTTATCACTTTTATGAATTATGACTGTATCTGTCATGCCCCTGTTGGAATCTGATTCCAAGGGGGAGGTCGAACAACTGAAAGGGAGTGGAAGTGTGGCTCCTGTGGCTGTGGAAGAAACTGGGGAAGGGCACAGTCCGGCTGGGCCTTCAGAGGAAGACCCAGGCCCATCCCTTCTTCATCCTAGGGCATGCAGGGAGGAACAGAGAAGGGAGCAACATGAGTTATGGGGGAGAAAAGGGCCCTGATTCCCTTCATTAACTGCAGCTGGGAAAACAGGATTTCAAAAGGGCGTTTGCGCATAGCACCTTGCTGGAAGCAAAGTGTGAATTATTTTGGTTTGTCAAGTCTTATCTGGGTTCTGGCGTCCTCCCAACTGTGTGTGTTTCATTATCTTTTGGAAGTCTGCAATTCCTTATCCTGCCCTGTCTCGTTAATTGCTGCAGCTGTGGTTTGTGTTGGTTTTTATTTATAATTTATAAGTACTTTGGGTTCAGACTGAATTTCTTCCCTTTGAACAACTGTTCTTGAGAGAGTTTTTTTTCTCCAGCCGATGATAACTGGACAATGGGGACCAAGTTGGAGGTATTAAAGGGACTTTACCTACTTTGGTGTTGCTTTTGTGCCACGCCCTGGGTCATCCCAGTATCTGTGACTTATCACTTCGTTGTTTGTATGTACGCTGAGAGCTTGTGCGCAGAGGCAAATTCTTTGTGTGTCCGATCACACCTGGCCAATAAAGACTATTCCAATTCCAATGGCTGCTGAGCTCATATTTTGACCCTCCAGCTTTTCCAAACACCTTTGCTTGGTTAATAGAGGCCATTTCAGACATGGGATGCGACACCGGGGAAAAAATACAGCATCCTGCACTTAATCCTCCAGGAAAAGATTGAAGGCAAATGAGGTCCAGGTAGAAGAAGGACATCATGGCTTCAAAATCTAAGGAACTAGGTTGGACAAAACTGAGCAGCATTTTTTCATGCGGCTGTTGATAAAAATAGAATCGCCAACATCTGATGACGGATATGGCACAACAAGAACAACAGAGGCAAAACAACACCTGAATCAGAAGGTGTCTTGCTTTATATATTTTCACAAGTTACAAAAAATGCAACACTTTCCCACAACAGGAGCAGTAACAAACTAAAGACAAAGAAAAATAGAATACCTGAACCCAAACAGCTTTCATTATCACTAAACAGGCGCAGGCTGATGTTTTTTGCTGTAGCCACTTTTCAAAAGAGCTTATATCAATATCGAAAAACACTGAAGAAGTCTTATTATATACGCATACTGAAGGAAGTCAGAAGTCAGGTTTCCCTGTTCCTTTTCACTTTCCCCTGTCACTTTCCAGTCTGATTCCCCTCCCTTTTAAAAATCTTTTCTTTTGTTTAATATTTGGTATTTAACTTTCTTGGAAACTTAATAAAGTTGGTTTATTTTTTTAAAACAAAGAACATTCTGAAGAATGTCCTCTAAGGCTGTTCAACCATGTTGGACACTCCAGAAAGCAGTAGACCAGGGGTCTCCAAACTTGGCAACTTTAAGACTCATGGACTTCAACACCCATAAGTTGCTGGATGAAGACTTCTAGGAGTTGAAGTCCACAAGACTTAAAGTTGCCAAGTTTGAAGACCCCTGCAGCAGACAGAAGGAAAGTACCACACAAATTGAAAGAGAAGGACCAGGGGAGACAGGATAGCAGTCTTCCAATATTTGAGGGGCTGCCACAGGGAGGGAGGGATCAAGCTATTTTCTAAAGTGCCTGTAGGCCAGATAAGGAATAATGGATGGAAACTGAACAAGGAGAGATTTAACCTGGAAACAAGGAGAAACTTTCTGACAGTGAGAACAATCAACCAATGGAACAGCTTGCCCTCGGAAGTTGTGGGAGTGCCATCACTTGAGACTTTCAAGAAGAGATTGGACTGCCATTTGTCAGAAATGGTGTAGGGTCTCCCACTTGGGCGGGGGGTTGGACTAGATGACCTACAAGGTCCCTTCCTACTCTGATTATCTGTATCTGTAACCACTGAATGCACAGATTGCATTTATTAACATGAAATTGTTCTGCTAAGTTACCCCTCGCCATTCCCCAAGAAGACAAAATGGAGCAACGAGCGTTATTTCCTTAAACACAAAGAAGGAAATCAAACTGAAGATATCCCAAAGGTGCTTTTCCAAAAGACAAGTGGACTTTCTTGGGGGTTTTTCTTTGAAAATGTTTCACTTCCCATCCAAGCAGCTTCTTCAGTTTTAACTGAAAAACCAAAAAAGTAAAATAACAACCTTTGGGACATCCATGATCTGGAGATTAAGAATCTCCATAGACAAAGTGAAGATTGATTGGGTTGCCCAATGGATACGGAAGAGGCAATTTTCCAAGAAGTTCCGATTTGGTGCAAAACCTACAACCTGAGCCAAGTAATGGAGCTTCTGAATGAGAAGAACTTGGGACAAAATTTTCCCAACACCGAACCCTTCAGAACGCCTAACCAGCCAATATCTATACAAGGCACTCAGGTCTGATATTAAAGAAGGCAGGTTTAGGATTTTATGGAAGACTCAAACCCTTCTTTTATTACCCACAAATTAATGAACGCTTGATTCTGCAGGATGTGTTTCATTAAACTGTTACGTTTTTTTTTTAAAAGAAGAAATATTAACATTATTAGTATCTGAAAGAGTTTTGTTCCCTCTTCCATCAGTCCAAAAAAGAAAAAAGTTGAACAAGCAAACTTATGTAAGACAGAAATCTCAGTAAATTTCATAGCATGGTTTAATTCACATGGCATGGTTCAAGCATTGTACATAAAATGAACTAAATCTGTTACTAAATAGGCAATTGATGTTAATATGCTCAAACTGTTTAATGCATAAACATTAATACTTCAGAGGAATTAAAAGATCACAATGTTTTATAGTTCTTCAGGGTAACCTCCCAACCAAGCATTCACCAGATCCAGCCTTGTTCAGTTTATTTAAGACTATATCCAAGGCTGGCTGTGACTTCCCGTCCTAGATTATTTGCAACCTTAAACTTAGATTTCAAATTGTACAAATCCATTACGGTTTTCCATTTTGACTGCTACCCTGTTCATTGCATGACACTAGCATGATCTCGAGCTAATGAAGCTAGCTTGAGATTTCACTCTAGCACAGGGGTCCCCAAACTTGGCAACTTTTAAGACTTGTGGACTTCAACTCCCAGAATTCTGGAAGTTGAAGTCCACAAGTCTTAAAAGTTGCCAAGTTTGGAGACCTCTGGCTCTAGCAGTAGAAGGTTGGCCAGTTTGCTATCAAAATCGCACAAGGTCAACAAATATCCAGGCAACATTGAAGTGACTTACCCAGCTCAGCAAAAATTCCAGAAAGCCGTTCAAAACACAACAGTTACAGAGAATTAAGAATCTCTCCAAATTCTGCCGAGAGAGAAAGAAATCTACAGCAGCAGTTCTACCTGAAAAGAATCAAAAGGGCCATCAGGACTTGTTCAATGAAGAGGGGTGAGGTTTTTCTATTCGACTGAATGGCCACAACGTGTAATTTACATTTTGGTTCCTTGTAGCCTAACCACTGCTTACCATTCGTAATGCAAAGCGAACATTAAAAAGAGAACATACCCCAGACCACGAACAAAGAATCTCGGTGGCAGGAACTGAAAATAAGATGTAACTTAAAAGGAGCACTTTATAGAAGATTTACTCATCGGGAAGGACATGGAAGTTAAACAGGAGAACCTGTGTCTACAAAGGTTGCTCTGGATGCATGTTTCGTAATATTCCAAGCACAGAGGGCATGTTGACCTCTCTTGGTAGTTTTTTTTCCCCCCCTGGGCTAAGCAGTCCTTGTCCCCTATTGATTAAGCAATCCATGTTGATCTCCACGAGGCCAATTCCTTAAAGTCAACATGGGCTTTAACCTTAAAGATAACCAACCTCCAAACTAATCCAACTGTTTGAGATGCATTGACCAATTGTGTTGGTACCTTGTCATTCTTACCAGCAGCTTCCGAAGTGGAACAAAGCTACAGAAGGCTGAAACACACACAGGTAGTCCTCGGATTACAACCACAATTGACCCCCCAAATTTCCATTGTTAAGTGAAACATTGGTTAAGTGAGTTTTGTTCCATTTTACGACCTCTCTTGCCACCATTGTTAAGTGAATCACTTCTGTTGATAAGTGAGTAGCCCATTTCTTAAGTGAATCTGGCTTCCCAGTTGACTTTCCTCATCAGATGGTCGCAAACGGTGGATCACATAACCTTGGGACATAGCAACGGTCATAAGTAGGGACATAGCAACGGTCATAAGTAGGGACATAGCAACGGTCATAAGTAAGAACCAGCTGCCAAGCATGATTAGGGGACTGGAGGCTAAAACTTATGAAGAACGGTTGCAGGAACTGGGCCTGGCTAGTCTAGGGAAGAGAAGGACCAGGGGAGAAAGGAGAGCAGTCTTCCAATATTTCACAGGGGCTGCCATAGAGAAGGCAGTCAAGTTGTTCTCCAAAGCGAAAGAAAGAAAGATGAGAGAAAGGAAGGGAGGGAGGGAGGGAGGGAGGGAGGGAGGGAGGGAGGGAGGGAGGAAGGAAGGAAGGAAGGAAGGAAGGAAGGAAGGGGAAGGAAAGGAAAGGAAAGGAAAGGAAAGGAAAGGAAAGGAAAGGAAAGGAAAGGAAAGGAAGAAGGAAAGAAGGAAAGGAAAGGAAAGGAAAGGAAAGGAAAGAAAGGAAAGAAGAAAGGAAAGGAAAGGAAAGAAGAAAGGAAAGGAAAGAAGAAAGGAAAGGAAAGAAGGAAAGGAAAGGAAAAGAAAGGAAAGGAAAGGAAAGAAAATAAAAGAAGAAAGGAAAGGAAAGGAAAAGTCATGGTCGTAAGTCATGTTTTTCAGTGCCATTGTAACTTTGTATGGTCACTAAATGAACTGTTTTAAATCAAGGACTACATGTGTTGTTGTCCCAGAGTCTTATTAAAGTTTTGCTTTCTTAACCATTTTTGTTGGCTTGGATTATGTTTTATGGATTCCGCCCCCTCCCCTGCATCGTTCCGTTTGCAAAGTATCTTGAAACTGGTACCTGTGGCAATTCAGAAAGACACCCACCACCACCAAAAACACACAAGGCTTTCCTTACACAAATCAAGCAGAGAAAATGTCTTGGAAAAATACTTGCTCTCTATACGGCGCTGGGACAAAAGTTACAGGTAAGATCCATGTAATTAGGCCAAAACTAGAGAATTTCTAAAAACTAGTATCAGAAGCACAATTATTATTTACTCTAAGTTTAAAATAACTTTATAACTTAAGTCATAACGAAGATAGAGAGCTGTTTCGGGGTCTTGTGTCAGGTGTGAAGAATCAGGACCACACAGTAAGTTCTACTTAATAGCCATAGCCCTCTCTTAAGAGGTTTACAAATGTTGACACCCAACAATTTGGGTGCTCATTTTACCAACCTCGGAAAGATGCAACTATGGAATCATGATTCATCGCTGCCACATAGCTTGAGAAAGTGGGAGGGGTGGTGGTATTAATTGAGTAGCTCTTAGTAGACAAAATAGAATTCTTTTGATGGTTCAAGGTCAAAGAGTGTGACGCAGAAAGAATTGGAACTTACTTTGGGATTGGTTCATGTGATATGATGATGAGTAAAAAGGCGATGGTTTGTAGGTTGGGACATTGTGGGAAGTCCGGGGAAACTTTTAGTTTCGGAATTCCACAGAATGTGCCAGGTGCTATTCTAATAAAAGTACTTTTGAGATTATGCTTGTCTTGGAGTTTCTGACAGGAATGGATGTTCCCTGGAATGCTGACAGCAAGGCTGAGTCAATCTGAGTCAGAATCGAACTGCTGGCAGTCGTTAGAGTTAGCCTGCAATACTGCATTCTAACCACGGCATCGCCACGGCTTTTAGTTAATCTGATTTATTGCTCGTTCTTATACACAAGAATCTAATCCATTAACAGTCAGCACTAAATTGGTGCTAGATAAAGGCTAACGAAATTCAGGAAGGGTTGGACTTGGACCGCTTGTAGGGAATGTAACAATTCTAGGCTGATTCCTCTCTTGACTCCACTCTCAGGTTCTGCCTTCTCCTTCTCCTTCATCTTGCTGTCCATTATCTAGTTTTCCTGCTGTTGATGGCATTCCTCACCAAATTCTGGCATGCAATTTAGAAACCTACTTAAAAGCCATTCGAAACCAAGGACATGGTTTCCTTTCTTATTCTGCATTGCTTTTAAAACGCCTGGAAAAACACACAGACTATTTGGTGAGAAGACGGTCCTGTTTAGTATACGAAGGAAAAAATAGGCAAGACTCACTTTTAAAACAAATGTACTTTCTCTAAGAGGTAAGGGCAAAATCTGGCTGGCTGGTTTATTGTCCAGTTTGTCAGTCAAATATATCCATCTCTGCAGGCATTTTCAGCACAAACACACACACACACACACACACACACACACACACAAATATACATACAGTCTTCCGTTTGCCTGTCTGTTGATAGATATAGATATATAGATGGAGATAGATAGATAACAGATACTAGATGATAGATAGATGGATGGATGGATATAGATAATAGATAGATAATATAATAGATGGATAGATAGATAATAGATGGTAGGTAGGTAGGCAGACAGGCAGATAGATATTGCATGTATGTACATAAGTATGTATGTACTGTGTGTGTGTATGTGTGTGTGTGTGTGTGTGTTTTCTTAAGTTTTCGCGGGTACTTACATGTATGGTATTCCGCTTTGTTCGGGTATTTTCCCACGTCATTATAGTTGTGCTTTTAAACTTGTAGCAACGTTTCGGCAGAATCTCATCTGCCATCATCAGGCTTCTGTATTGTGTTCGTCTGTGTAGAGCCACAATACAGAAGCCTGATGATGGCAGATGAGATTCTGCCGAAACGTTGCTACAACTTTAAAAGCACAACTATAATGACGTGGGAAAATACCCGAACAAGGCTGAATACTATACATATAAATACCCTTCATGCTGTCCCTTGGGAGACAGCTACACATACCAGTAAACTGCTATACCTATACATTCCATCGAAAATACTTTAAAAACTCAGAAAGGAAAATCTCTTCTATATTAAGATCAATTCTTGTGACTGTGGGCATCCAGCTATTATTGCTCCCTCAAACTTTAGGCTGGATTTTTTTTTTTTTTACAAAATACTACTCTAGTCTAAACCCATGGATTGTCAAATAGTTTCCTATCCAAATATTAAACGGGTCCAAGACGACTGCTTCGTTTTTCTCAGCCTTGGCAACTCTCGGATGTGTGGACTTCAACTTCCACAATTCCTCCGCCAGCACTGGGAATTCTGGGAGTTGAAGTCCACGCATCCTGCAGTTGCCAAGGTTGAGAATAGCTTATCTGGCAAATGAAGCCAACAGCCTGCCCTAAGCCTTGGATCAATTCAGGTAAACAGAAGGTCACAACTGAATTGTGCTGAAACTGCGTTTTGCTCCTAAGTAAATAGGAAACGCATGCATCTGTTGGCAAATGAGTTCTCTTTGCCAATCCCATTGCTGTGACCTATAAAAGTTCTGCATTTCTAGACTCCATTTGGCAGGATCATAGCCAGAATCAATAGAGATTTCTGCTGACAGGTTGCAAACGTTAGTCATTTCTTGAGTATGACCCACAGCAGATCTGGATTACAGCCCAAAAGGAAGCACTTCATGGGAAAGGCTGTAAACTTAAAAAATATACACTGCTCAAAAAAATAAAGGGAACACTTAAACAACACAATGTAACTCCAAGTCAATCACACTTCTGTGAAATCAAACTGTCCACTTAGGTAGCAACACTGATTGACAATCAATTTCACATGCTGTTGTGCAAATGGAATAGACAACAGGTGGAAAGCAGAGGCAGGTAGCAAGACATCCCCAATATAGGAGTGGTTCTGCAGGGGGTGACTACAGACCACTTCTCAGTTCCTATGCTTTCTGGCTGATGGTTTGGCCACTTTTGAATGCTGGCGGTGCTTTCACTCTAGTGGCAGCATTAGACGGAGTCTACAACCCACACAAGTGGCTCAGGTAGTGCAGCTCATCCAGGATGGCACATCAATGTGAGCTGTGGCAAGAAGGTTTGCTGTGTCTGTCAGTGTAGTGTCCAGAGCATGGAGGCGCTACCAGGAGAAAGGCCAGTACATCAGGAGACGTGGAGGAGGCCGTAGGAGGGCAACAACCCAGCATCAGGACCACCACCTCCACCTTTGTGCAAGGAGGGACAGGAGGAGCACTGCCAGAGCCCTGCAAAATGACCTCCAGCGGGCCACAAATGTGCATGTGGCTGCTCAAATGGTCAGAAACAGACTCCGTGAGGGTGGTATGAGGGCCCGACGTCCACAGGTGGGGGTTATGCTTACAGCCCAACACCGTGCAGGACGTTTGGCATTTGCCAGAGAACACCAAGATTGGCAAATTTGCCACTGG